GTAGATACAGGGAAATAAAGATAGCAAATCAAATGGAAAAACATGTGTCTATCTTTCTCATTAAGTCGATCTTTGTGCAAAAAATGCAAACAGCTGGTCATGTCTATCGTGCTGTCAAAATGATTATGCTATGTGAACAACGCTCGACACGTCAACATACAGGGACAAGCTGCTAAAAGTCATATATGCAACGCGATTCTTGGATGGCACACATAAGAGTTTATATATGCATACGTCGTTCGGCATATTCCATACGTTTTAACGACATTGCGTTCATGAATACGATAGAGATGAGTTAGTGTGTATCAGCGTGTAACGAAGCTGTAGGCATATACGTTGTGTACGATACACAATCGCACATAGTTTCAAATATTTGTTTGGACAGTCATCTGTACGCGTCAGAACCACGACGAATGTTATATTGTCTTTTCAAAATGTCAACCATAAATTTTTCTTTAACTTCAGTATCGAAAGCCTCAGAGATAAATTTTAATTTGCAATTATAAATCTTTCATTTAAAATATTCTCGCTTGCGCATCTCTATTTTTCTTTTGCCAATTAGAGAATATTTTGACGATTTTGAACAAGAAGGTTGAACAAATAAATTATTCGTAATATAGCCATAATATATATCCCGTGTAATATATCCCGTATTTATTCTATATTTCAGTAATTGATGAATCAGCGCAACTCTCCATTTATGAAAACGTAAAACGAAGCCAGTGAAACAAGTGCAATGTAAGTATTTTACTAAATTAGTAAAATGTGAAAGCAGCATTGCTATGATAATACTAATGTTACAATGAGATTAAAGCAAGTATGTGATGCTTACGTTAAAGCTAACTCAAGAAATCAAGGAATATATGATACTCACGGAAATGAAAGTACACTAGTTTTGTAACGCTGAAAAGTAATTAATTTTTCTCAGGAGCGTTCTTCTTCTTTATATACAGTCAAATATTGTTAGATTGCGACATATGAAATTTAGAATTTAGACATATGAAATTAAAGTTAACTTTTTATCAAGGATATTTAGATAATTTAATGTAAAACGTTTTTAGCTTCAATTTTTTTTTAATCTAGAATTTAATTCCTTTAAAATTGATAACTTAAATAAATTTTGAAATTTAATATAAAAAAGTCTTTTAATTTTAGAATTTAAATTTTTTTAAAAGCTGAAGAATTTTAGAATTATAAAATTTTTATAATTATAAAATTTTTATAATTAAGCTTTTTATAAAATAAGCTTATTAGGATCCTGCCTTGCCGGATATTATTAATATGTATTATATTCTACTATAAAATATTTAATCTGAAAATTGTAATATGTAAAAGAACTTATTAGATGGCCGATATAATCGAGTTTTATATTTAAGATTGCCTTAAATACATACATACTTAAAATAATTTTAAAATAAGAATGGAAGAATATGAATATTGGTCTAAAATTCTCTCTGCCGATTAACATCACTTTTTCCCGTTATTTAAACATATTTTCAACTACATTAAATTGTTTGAAAGTTTTAAATTATAAATTAAAAAAAAGTACATCAATTTAGAAAATGAATGGCAGATGCGCGACGTTTTCTAGTTGCGTTAAAAAATAATTATAAAAACACGGGGGACGCATTTGATTATTCAAGCATTAGATAAAAAATTATTTGTTTCTTTTTCTCAACTCTTTTTGTACTAGATATGTAAAAATGTGAATAAATATAATTCATGTAAGGAATTGAAGTAACATTAGATAACATAAAACAAATACATAAGCAGCAATGATATTTTATAAAACAAATATTATGATATTTTTTGCTCTTCATGAGGTCAGTGGTATCTTCATACTAATACTAATAAGCCATGGATTTGTACGCAGAATATTCTAATAATTTGCGTTTCAAGTTCTTTACATAAATTTCAAATACAGCGAGTATTATACGAAAATCATTGCCTAGTAAAATTTTTTTATAAGATTTATAGAGAACTTTGATTAACATCCAAGATAAAACCATGTAATTTTGACGGGATTGATGATGTGAATTTATATTTTCAATTCTTTTGTTATTCATGTCAGATTCTAAATATTCTAAACTCTACTGTTTAATCCCAAGAAATTTATTCTAGACACGTATACGTTATATGTGATATTACTCAAATTCGGTATTCTGCTTTCAATTTATGCTCTAGTACGATTTTAAGATCATATCCTCACACTCTGATTCGCAACATGCATTCGGAAAGTCTGATAAAATGCTTTCCAATTACCTATTATTCTTCCGTCATTTTTAGAACTTTCTCGTTAAACCCCTTCCGGGAGCTTTTTCATCTTTTGTGTCTACTTTAATTGCGGCCGATTAAATTTAACGGTAATCGAAAGCGTCACAATTAAAAAGAGAGCTCTCGTATATCGCGGATGTAATTACTCTTTGAAGAGGACGTTGATCTCTGGCGTTATGACCTACTGTACCACTTCACATCCGAATTATAAGATGCTCACGCTACCGATCAGATTGAAAATTATTATGTGAGTTTTTTTCAAAAAAAGTCATAAAATTGTTTAGTCGATACACTACTTGTCTATCGCGTAACTAATATTCTCGATTATGAGAATCACTGGCTCTTAAACTGCTGAGCTACATCCGAGAGAAGATCGGACAAAATAAGAGCCGGATGCCGTTAAATTTCGACGAGACGAACGATTACGCCAGTTATGTCGATACTGAAGAGAGCTTTCACTTTTCTCATGAAACCTCTCAACCTTTATTATTTTTGACATTTCTGTATCTTTGACATTTCTGTATCTCGATAAAATAATTTTTTAATTTTGATAAAAAATTTATTTTCATATTTTATAATTTCATATTTTATAATCTTTAATCAATCATTTCAAAATAAAATATGTATGTTTACATAAAAATAATAATTGTTATTATATTGTTATTTTATCATTGATAATATAACAATAACGTTACATAGATAACGAATAAAGCATTCCAATTATGAAATGTTATAATATTCATTTCAATTACGAAATACATGTAGCTTAAATTTGCAATACCACATCGATAAAACGGGATAATTTTATTGCGTTTAACTAACATATATATGTTTATGTATTATGTTCTTTCTAAATGAATAACATAATGAAAACGCAAGAGATTTCTGTGTATTTAATGGATGGATTATTACTTCAAGAATTAAGATTAAGATAAAAATGTAATACTAAAGATAAAAATAAGAAGATATAAAAATTACGTTATTATCTTAAAGAAGTTATTTTACTAAAAGTGTGACGCAGATGAAAAGAAACGAGATAACAAGAAATTTTTTCTATTTTAAATCGTCGCTATAATATTATGTCTATAACGAACAAATGTAACAAAGAAATTTATTAAAACAAAGAATACATTTGAAGTCAATATTTAAGGTCACACCTGTACGTTATTTGTATTCCGGTTTGAACTATGCGCAACTGATCCTGAGATACCGTCTGCCTTTGCGTAACGAAATAATTAAAATCGGCAAACCGGTTATCATAAAATTAGCACACTTACAATTTCTTCTGGACCGAGCGTCACCACTTCCGGTCACTTCCTGCCAGCCGGGCGGTACCGGAGAACAAAGAGAAGTATATCTCTGCCGACGAATGACGAGTTTACGTGGAACTGCTCGAGTTATAATTTCCTAGTTACAACTCGAGTCACCGATGTAGGAGAAGCGGGCAGAGATGTGAGTTAGATGGAATATCGTCTTCGACGTGAAAGATCTGCTGACAGAGATCCGCTCCGGTCCTCCGGAGGCGGGAAAAGGGAGCACGCGGCGTCAGCTAGGACTGCGATGGAAAACAGACCCGTCCGACACCGCGGAGAGTTCGTCTCTGTGTTCGGATACCAAACCAAACCCAATGTTGGGACTCACATGGTCGGTACATGAAAGCGAGGAAGGGGAAAACGGAAACAATTCTACAGCTATTCTCATCGCACACACATGAGTGTACCTTTGTGCGTACATACATGCTTGTGTTTCTCTCTCTCTCTCTCGCAGTTAGTTCCATGATTTATTTCTTTTTCTTTTTTTTTCCTTTACTTCACCTTGACACGACGTACACATATATAGATTACTGTGGTTGAGATAGCGGAGCAATTGGCAGATAACCGTCACGTCGTGATCCGAATGTTGATAGAAAGAATGACGTCTTAAGAGTTTGTAAACTTAGCCGATCAGTGTAATCGAGTTTCAAAAGCAAAAAATGACCTTATATCACGTAGCAACAGATAATTCTCGCACATCGTTATAAATTATTACTATTATTATTATTATTATTATACTATTATTATTATTATTATACTATTACTATTATTATTATTATACTATTATTATTATTATTATTATTATTTGGGTTATGTGATAAAGCAGCACGAAGTGATTAAAGTTAGATTCAAATTATACTACTTGATAAAACTTCTTGACTTCTTGACAAGATAATCGAGTTTCATTTGAGAGTTTTAGATTGAATCTCTCTAATATTATTGATTAATTATATACCACATTAATATCTAAGATTAATGTTGATTTTCTAAATACTTTTTAATATATCAAGCAAAAATCACTCAATAATTTATTTTTAAATCTATAAATAGATATTTAATAAAGTTAATAAAAATGATTAATAAAAGATTTTTATTTTAACATCAATCACTTTTAAATTGTGATTATTAATCTATGTTTTTTTAATAACCCATATAAAAAAATTAAAAAGCTTTTAAAACTCTGATTGTATCGATTATTTCTGACTAATGCATAAAGAAAAATATTGGTTATTACAGTAAAAGATGGTTATTACAGTAATAAATAAATTGCTACGTATATTAAAAAAAAAATAAAATAAACAAGAGCGATATACAAAAAAGCCATTATATTACATCTTACATTAACGCACGTGTATATAAAATTATCATGTGGAATAGTCCATGACTGCCATGTAGAAATCACAGGAGAATAATTTACGTGAATCCCGGAAAAATTCTGAGATTTAAAACTACAATATTTCAAACGATCTTACGGTTCATGGCAGACAATATTTTTTCGTTCATGAAGATGCGCTCGAACGAAATGCTTGGCTTTACAGGCCCGCCAAGTGTATTTAAACATCTCTCTCTCTCTCTCTCTCTCTGCGACCAGTCAAGTGTAATAGGATAAGGAAAAAATATTGCCGGTGAGAGAGCAGCTTTTAAATGGTATCCACGGTATAAATGCAGATGGTTGCACAGAGCGTGAAAAAAACGGAATGCACCAAACGCTCCGGTTTTCCTTGACTTCGATATAAACGGTGCATACCAGTTCGAGCATTATTTTTCCAGTTATCTCTCTCTCGTGATTTCTCAAAGGATACTCGCGCGTGCATGAAAGCAATCCCCGATTAAAAATTTCAGACTGCAGGCGCATATTAATTGGTCAAATAATCACGATGCACATAAACGTTACATTTTTCTACAAAAAATTTTAATATTGAATGCCATGTGACCAGAAACAGATGTTTAAAAGAAAACCTTATCTTTAAAATATTCATTTACATAACTGCAAAGAAAATATATTACATGCTTTTATTGTTAACTACGCTATAAATTTTTATAAATACTTACAAATATCATTAGAATCGTTTTCCTATGAAATCTTGATCTATGATGGATGGTATCATCTACTAAAAATTCTCTCCGTCGTGTGTCGTTATAAGAGACTCTCTCTCTCTCTCTCTCTCTCTCTCTCTATTCTTCTTGAGAGTTTTAGTTTGAGAAATGAGTTTCTCGCGAAATTTATATCGTGATATATCAGATTTGCTAGAGAATGCACAGAAATACAAAACATCTGGATGTCATCGTACAGATACACAATATATTTCAATACTTGTAGGGAGAAATTACAACAATTTGTTATGTGCATGCAATCAAAAACTTTTGTCACTTGAATATATATATTACATTATTTATTAATTAACAAAACTTAAAATAAAAGATTATTAATTATTTAAAAGCATCGTACACATATATAACTTGATACGCTTAGCAACACAGAAATATTGCACCAACGTTTTCCCACTTAATTACACAGTTTTGATTAACGTAATCGCGTAATAAATCTTCCCGTAAATGTCCTTTTAATAATGCGATTGTAATTAACAAATCGTGCGGCGAGCGAGACATCGATGTAGTTTTCTAAATGGTTTCTTTCCAGACGATCGTCGTCGAAGATACAGATTTAATTTAACGATAAATGTTAATTAAGATTTACATCTTTTATTCAATTATTGTGTGCGTTTAAATAAACGTAAGTAAGCCGCGCGATTAAATACCACCGAATAAATAAAATCGATACGCCGTAACACAATCGTGTACTTGGTTTAACGTTGAAACGCGAACTGTCACTTTCATCGATCCGCAGCGACTCCGCTACTCACGAGAGAAAGTAAAACGAGGCGGATTGTGTAATTATCGTCTCTACAATAGCTCAAACAATTTCAGCGTAACAAAATGCGCTGGCCTGATGCATAACACTGCGATGAACGTGTGTGTGTGTGTGTGTACTAATCGAATTATCGATCCATGTCTTGCTAATGATCGAACCAAATGATTGAATACAATACATATAATTTCAGGTTGTTTTATATTGGAAATATGTCATTTTAAATCTAAAACGTGCGGACTCTTCTCTCTTCATTTGCAATTTGCTGGCGTTATATTAATTTTAAATAATTTCCAAGAAAGAAAATTCTTCGAAAAGATATCCATAATAGCTAGTAAATTTCTTAAATAAAAAAACCATTTTATATTTCTCTTCAATTAAAGCTGTAGAAGCTCGGAGGTGGAAAAACTTCAAAAGACAGTTTATTTCAGACAATAGACAGTAGAAACAGCAGAATTAAAAACCTTTTTCTCGGAATGAAACGTTTCATATGCAATAATGATACGTAAGTAGAGATTATGTGACTGAGCTATGTGAATAAAAAGGTTGAAAGTAATATAACAGAAAATAAGAGACGTAAAAAAATATTAAAAAAATTAGTTTCAGTCTTTTCCCTTAGGTAGATTTCAGAAAATACCGCATTTCTTTTTTTGCCGAAGCGGAAAAGCACTGACTTTCCAATGTTTCGAACATATGACAGCCTTGCACATTATAAACTGATACATGCGTGCAATAATTGTAATCCGATGATGCGAAATATCGCATTACATCAAAAACACTATTCTTATTTTTTATGTTGAATGAAACATTCTGATTCATAACCGATTATTCCCACTTAGGTTTCCTTATATTACAAGCATCTCAATTTTCAGCCGCTCATTGCATTAATTTTCTTTCTCTTTCCCGCTCCCTCTCTTTTTCTTTCTTCCGTGTTTTAAAGATACTAATTTGTCATTTATGATAAAATATTAATCATTATTTTTGTAAAGTTATTCCTGACATTTACACAAAATTATACAACCCGAGCATTTACAAATGAAAGTTGTTAAATAAGAAGTGAAAACATATTACGGAATTGCGAAGACTTTTAAACCCGAGAGCTTTATGGTGTGTTGCCATTTTGCAGCGATCGATTCACAGTCAATTTGTGACGCAACATGGAAAATCATGGTCTATATAGATGAAAACTTATCTCATCAATAGTTCATCGGAACATGTGATTGCTTTGTAATAGCAGCATTGTTTCTATTGTTCTCTCATACTATTTCGATTTCTCCTTTATACTTTGAAGATAATTAAAATAGTTCTCATTGACGGAAATAAAATACATTGACGGAAAAAAA